GATTACTTCATATGATATAATTTTATTAGCCACATGTGGAATAAATCGAATTAAAAAAATTTAGAAAAAGAAAAGCTTTCTTTCTTTCTAAATCGTTCAAAAAATTTTGTATGTCAGACCATTTAATATATACACACACAATTGTGAGGCAATGGAAAAGTTTAAATAATAATATCTTATGAACTATCGAAAAAAAGGCAAATAAATATTTAAAATAATACATTTTTTGTTAACACATGCAAAGGAAAAATTATTGTTATTTGTACATGTATATTAAATAATTATATTGAGTAATAAAATGTTTGAATATTGATAAATTTTAAATATTATATTCATTATATTTTAAATATAAATAAACCAAACAATCAATGGTATTTATTTATGATATTGAGTATTTTATATTTGTAGGTAAATGAGAATTATTTCAACGATTCGTTTAATTAAAAATTAATTAACACTATATTAATAACCCGTATAACAGTTGCCATGTTGTAGATAAATTTTGTGAAAATTTTTTGTGTACCCTAATCAAATCTCATGGTTTTTAATGACCTGAAATAAGTATAATATACTTGTAATCATCATAGGTGTCAAATTGTAAATTTTTCTTTTAAGCAAGAATAGGCTGGGCTATTTCTACACACCAGCAGATCTCTAATGTAAAACTTATCTATTAAATTGTTTTTCATGAGAAAGATATATCCCAATTCATTCTAAAAAATTATACGACTTATAAAATATTTTGAACCATATAATATTAAAAGATTTTATTTAAATCATAAAATCTTAAACTAATACACTGCAAATCAATCAAAGAAACCATTTTTAAATATTTGATGGACAGTTTTCATTAAAATTAGGTTAACGCTGATGAAAAGTTATAGCGAATAAAACAATGGTTACACCGTTGTAGTATTTTGAAATGTTACTATTAACCGATAATAAATTTATTAGGACACCTTCAGGTATTTCAGCATTGTGTTATCGGTGAAAAGACGGAGGTTAAAAGCGCCTATATCTGTTTTTAATAAGTTATTATTTATTATATATATTTAGCCTCAATGTGTTTATTTTTTTTATAAAACTTTGACTCAATTTTTGGTTGCGTTTACAGGAATGTGAATTCCAATCATATCTTGAATACCCTATCCTATCTTATGTATATTCGGCAAATTGCAGTTTAACCATTGAGTTCATTTATAATTTTAAAAAATAACATTATGTTTAAAAGTTCACTAAAAATACAGATTTTTAAAAAATTTGATAATTACCCTCTCAAAGTATTATTTAAATATGAAATGAATATACTCCATACACTGAGACATATTTTATAAAATAAAAAATTATTTTTAAAACCTACCATCATTAATATATAATTATTTTGCACTATTTGATAAGTTTCAACTAATCTAAAGAGTATAGGTCTACGCCTAAATTTATAGTAATTAATTTCCTTATGAATGTTTTATAATTATTATTATCTTTCAATGCCTTTCTTCTCTTTATCACCAACGTAATAATTAGATATGATAATTATGATAATTTATCATTCAGGTGTTTATAAAATATGTTTTAATATTAATATGGTAAATATGGCCCTGACAATAATAATGACATCAAAAAAATTATTTTATAAATTTTTATAAATTTTTTATAAGTTTTCAACTATTAAAAAGAATTATATAAAAATATAATAAATCTTGTTTATAAAGTTTTTTTTATTAGTAGGGGCAAATCAAGATGGCCTATTTTCAACTAATTTAGTCGCGAGACTTCAAAATTGCATTTTTTTAAAATGAAATCGCCAGTTAAGGTAAATATTAGTTATTGCTATCATGTCATTATTATAATTGATGGCGGACAGTTACATAAATAAAGACTTATTGTAACAAAAGGGGGTAAATTAGAATAAAAATATCGATAAAAAAAACAATTCCCCCATTTTCTAGAAAATATCTTATTAGGAATATATAATTAAAAAAGATGATATTTGGGTATCAAGTTTTACGCATGGCAATTAAAGAAGTTTTAACTTTATTTTGTTTGAGATTTTACCTAGCTTATTCATTTGGGTTATGTTGTTTAGAAAAGTTTATAATTCAAACTAAACCGAAAATAAATCTGAATTTTGTATTAATGATATATATCTAAGATCTATATCACCGTCATGCTTGTCATAATGTTGGCTTTGTTAATAATGTTGAACTTCTTATGAATGCCCACATTGCCGAAATAATAAATTGACACTAACATATATATACATATATATATCATAATAACCAAAGTCCAGATAATGTTTAAATATAGATTTTTAGTATATATAATATCTAATGAAAATATTATATGCGACTTAAGTAAGGCATCATGGCAATGACCAGTTTTTAGTGAGATGAATGTGATGATAGAAAAAAAAAATAACACCTTTGTTCAAAATTTATTAATATGATTGTGCTATATGATAAATAAAATTTGGGGTTATTAGTGGATTTATATTATTGGTGATATAATATATATATTAAATACAATTATTATACTTACCTTTGTTTATCTTTTGATAAACTTTAATGTTTTGACATATTTTGCCATAACCCCGTTTTTTACCCAAAAATTATAAAATTTACCCTCTAGTTATACCAAAATATATAAGGTTTAAAATTCGAAAATTGTATACATGTTTCTTATAGCCATAGCTTATAAAATAGCTAATCTATCTAGAAGTCGCGCAATAACCATTTGTACAATATAATAACCTTCTGGTAAATTTTTAGGTAAAACGGTTAAAATGTTCCATGTGATTAAATATTGATGTGCAAACTCAAAATGTGCCATTAATTTTAAACATTCAGGTATTTTACTGATTAGTTTATAGTTATACATGTTAAAATTGCAATATTTTGTTAATTCTAATGTTTAGCAACTTCACTCTGGGTATGGAGTAAAATGGCGAACATAGTTCACATAATTGAGCACATCTCCTAAAGTAATATAGATAGAGAGCTACACTTTGTTTTATATTGAGGATGAATGTTTTGACTACCATATAAACATATTTATTTTGTTCTGTTTAGTTAATGTTTCAAAATATTATGACAAAATGCAAAAATATCAACTGTTTTATCACGGTCTACCCTATTTTGGTATTCTTCCCCGCTAATTCTCCTAACAGTGAATGTGACCCGTTTAGACCTTTATGGCTGGGAAATCTAGCTGAGGCATTACTAAGCACCATTTATGCAATTAATTTTGCTACATTTATTTCTTTATCATGTTTTTTTTTCTTTTATAAAACGAAAAAAACTATAACTAAACAAAAACCTGTAAAAAAACAAATAAAAAAAACTTGGATCTATTATTTTATTAAAATAGATTTCCGTCTACTGTTTACCAAAATGGGTTTGCAATAGCTAAATTTAGATAATAATTTGATATATTTTATAATTTTTTTGTTATTATAAAAAATAAATAACATTTTACAATTATTAATTTCAAATAATTATAATCATATTCTTTCTTTCTTTCTTTCTTTCTTTCTTTCTTTCTTTCTTTCTTTCTTTCTTTCTTTCTTTCTTTCTTTCTTTCTTTCTTTCTTTCTTTCTTTCTTTCTTTCTTTCTTTCTTTCTTTCTTTCTTTCTTTCTTTCTTTCTTTCTTTCTTTCTTTCTTTCTTTCTCTTTGGTAAAATCACATTGGTGCCATAACCAAACTGATTTGTAATTTATACGCATTTAAAATCAATTAGATCAAGCACTTCATTTATATTTTTATTTTACACCCAATGTATTAAGATGCAACTATCTATATGTTAGAAGAAATTGTTGAAAGCTTATCTTGCACTAAACTTGTTATAAAAAAATCCTCATTTCATTTGATAGACAGTTGCAATTTATTACTAGCAGAGTGTCAATCCGATCCCCGAAGCCGGAGAAAAGTTTTTGAATTTTTAATCCTCATAAAAATTTTGAAAAATGAGGAGAACTTAACCGCTGTAAATAACAGACTAAATAAAAAGGTTAGATCATATGTTTTTTTTGATTCCTATTAACTTTCAAAAAATTATCTACTGCATAATTCAGAAATACAAAAATGTCGATTAAATTCTGGCTAATATAAAATTCGCGAATTAAAAAAAATTAAATTAATATGACCTTTATTTTTGAATTTTATATTAGATAATAAATAATATATAATATTTTTATTTTTCAAATTCATGTAGAGAGACAGTCGAAAGATGGTACAGTTGCAACTTGGATATTTAACTCCGTATGCTGATAGAGATGCACCCTTATTGCACGAGCTAATATTATTTATAGATGTCTCAAAAATACCCATACTAAAGGAGAGAAATTTTAGCAATGGAAACAAGTAAATATCCACAAATAAAATTTAATGTTATAAATATATAATCTAATATATAAAAAAATATTTATAATATATATATATATATTCGAATTCCCTCTCATCCAGTGAAACATTGAAATTAAAAAGATAAACATATTTATAAATTTAGTAGATTTTGTATAGAATTATATGCATATATATTTCAAATTAAATATTTGGTGGGGAAATTAATACAATGATGGGTAGGGCTGAGATAGAACCTCGCCAAAACCCAGCTAAAATAATGTAATGTAATGTAATAGAAATAAATATATTATATTTATATTCCAGAATAAAAGTCCCAAATCATCTTATAACGGGTATAATATAAGGGAAAGTTGAAAGAAATTGCATAGTCATAAACCTACAAACCTTAATAGACGGATCCAGAATTTATAAGATAAATCAAACGGACAAGCTCATAAAATTGTCAATTATTTCTAAAAAAAAATTATCGTAGCAAACGACTCATTAACTCTTGGAGCAGATACTGAGTTTTTGGTTGTCATTCATTACAATATTGATATAAAGTAATAGAATTGATTATTTTTACAAATATTATTTTTTTTTTAACTTTTAATTAAATTTTAATGCTTATTAAATTTCAAAAAAATTTTAAAATTATTATTATTATATTTTTTATATAATCTAATTTTTATAAAATAAATTTTAATTTCCATATAAATATAACTAAATATGAAATTTGATATGAAGCCAAGCTCAAAATTTGAATATCTTATATAATTTTAATTTAAATAAGGTGAATTTACATTTTTTTTAAAAAATATATTACTAAAAGTGTAAAAAATGTTTTTTTATAACACATTTTGATATATTTATAAGAGATAAAAAGATACCTTACAGGGGCATAACTATTCAAAAACGTACCGATCCTGAAACGCGTGAATATGATTTGGAGCCTTATCCTTTGGACAAAAATTTTTTCTCCTATAACCAGGCAAAGTCATTGACTTGCGGGTTAAAATTGATCAAGATAACTTGGTATAGCGAAGTATTATCCACTTATCTGCATCCCAATCATCTGACCATCAATAGATGCATCGGTAAAAATTTGTTAATCCTCTCACGATATTTTTCGATTATTTAGTTTATAATTTACCTATTACACAAAATACATAAACTGCTCACTGTTTATTGATTCCGTAAAAATCATGAAAACATATGGATCCTTCAATTATCGAATTTTTAAGTTGTAAGCCTGCTTTGTAAGAAGGAAAAAAGCATGATAGATAAATGGTTTTTATGCCATAAAACCTTATAGGAATTCAGTTTTTTTTTGACATGGCAAAACCATTAGTAGAACGATCGGTATTGCAACTATTTTGTGAATAGGTTATAACACAATATTTGTCGATTTTCTTTATACTCCACTTTATTGGAAAGAGAAAAGATAAGAAATTTTAAAACTAGGACTTTCGAACCGGATGTTATGGGGTAGTCGAAGAGCACAAACTATCACTTTTTATCCAGATTAACAAATTTTTTTTAAAAAAAAGATTCCCTTCTTAAGATGTAAGAAAGATTGGCATAATTTATTTCGATATTTTGGTATTAGTATCAGGTGTCAATGGTAGGGGGTATTCAATAGCGGGTTTTTAGCCCATAAGCCCGCCCTAAAACTACAATAAATATTGATGCGAAATTGCGTATTAATAAAAATTTGTTGGTCATTCAAAGATGGCCTCCTAGATTCATTTTTTTTGCATTTTAGATTCGGTTAGGATAACTTTTCTAGAATATTCAAGTCGAAGAATAGTCTTCTATCTTTATTTTTTTACTTCTTAATGCTTTATTTGTTTATTTTTTTAAATATTGAAGGATCATGCGACGTAGGATATACTGATGTTTCTACGGACGAGATATTTAATATTCATAGTTTTTCTGACTCAAGGAGAATTTATTAAATATCAAACTCTCTCCAACAAAGTTAAAGGGAAAATACAAGTGAAATCAATTCCAAGGGCTTGCTGTGTGGTCGTAGAATACAAATTTATAGATACTGTTTGGCAGGATAGCGATAATAAAAATATTTTCAATAAGATAAGAATGGTTAATGCTTCGGCTAAAAAGTGTGCTTGTCTTTAAAATTAAAAAAAAAAAAAATTACAATTTATTGGGAAACTATACATAAGATACAATTATTTTACATTAATTTTTTACACGGTTTTATATATATTTTCTTTTTTAAAAAAATGTTTAAATATTAAAAACTGAATATAATATTATGTGGGATGCGAAATTTTATTTCGTGCTTCAGTGTAACTGAATTAGGATTAGGGAACATATTAATCTGCCAAAATCTCTTTTGATAATTAAATTCATATGGCCCCAGAGGAGAATTCACCTATCACATTGTTTAAAATATTTTTATATGTTGTAAAGTATAAATATAAATAGAACATTCACAAAAAAAGGGAAAGACAAGAAAGGAAAAGTATTTTATTGAAAGAATGATCCAAAACACTTAAAATATAATTCAAATAAAAAAAAGGTTAATTTAAAATATATAGGATTATTTTAAAATATTCGATTTTTGAATATTTTAATGATATACTTCCCTTTAATCTGATTAAGTATATATAGGCAAGCGGGGAAGGTCTTGTCCTGAGAATTTTTATGGTCTCTCTAGTCGGTATTGGGGGGAAATTAGCTTGCAGAATTGGTATTAGTCTGTGTAGAATATTGACTCTGATAGCAATAGTTAAAAAGAATATTGATTCTGAATGAATTATATATTATGTCTTTAATTATGTTATAAAAATCTTAAAACTATAATAAGTCTTTAATTATGTTATAAAAAAATTTTTCAATCTTTACGCCATATTTATATATAAAAATATATTTAATTTTCAGCCTCAAAGTAAAAAATTTTTGTAAAAATGTATTATAAATTGATTAGGTAAATACAAGTAATATAAAGAAAAAAAATAATATATTAATTAAGTAAGTAAATTGATTAAGTAATCACAATTTGTTACTAATCTGTATCAATATATAGATATAATAAATATCATTTCAACTGCAATATTTCTTAAAATAAAACTCGCTTCTTAAAAAAACAAATTTTATGGAAGAGTTTGCTCCAAATTCAACCGCTAAACCGGAATGTTTTATTAAACCTTACCCTAAGCTAAACCGCATTTAGCCGAACTTGAACCTAATCTGTTCGAACCTCATGACTCTATGCATATAAGATATTGTGTAAGTTATTATATATTACAAAATTTTTAATTTAAATTGGAATTATTTTAAAGATTATTATCAATCACATTTGATTGATAAGTGGCAGTCATGATTTTTATAAAATTTTGTATATTGCCATTTTACAACATTTTTTTAAAAATATTTTTAGCTAATAAATTATAATGCCCTAGAGAAAAATTAAATCCAACGAGAAGTTATTGAAGGGTAGTGACGTTGATGGGGGACATAGTATCAACAGAAGTCAATCATCGTGCAGCGCAGTTAATATCTCCAAGATCTCAAGAGTTAGGATTTATAGAGTAAGATGGAGAAAATTTATCAATAATAGTATTGCTAAAATTGGACACTTTCTCTTTGTTTGAGGCAGATAAGTTATTTATTCTATTCTTGGGCTTAACTAAAACTCTAAAACAAAAACTAATTAGTTCTAACCAAAAGGGTGTTGAGGAGAAATCTGAGTTTAAATTATTCAAAAGATATGTCAGGACCTTGAGATCGATTCTCGGGCAGCTATAGGGATCCTAGAAAGAACTGGGAGCTTAGGTGAATCAAGAAATAAATCAATAGAGCTCGAGGAACAACATACAGGAATGGGGTTTCGTACGAAAGAGAAGCTCTAATAAAAGCATCCGGGAGAGAGGAGAGGGGAAATTTTCCAGAATTGAGGTAAGCGGGTGAGCCATGTTTTCCTAAAACGCCATTTAAATTAAGCTAAATTATTTTTAATAATAAAATATACAAACATATAATATAATTTTGATAAAATAATAGCTTTTTCTAAAATGGCGCCTATCTTGTTTTTTTCGTCTTGTGGAAATTCGTGAACTATTTTTCAAGATCCAAAAATGATAAGCGGAACTTATTGCAAAGTATTGGATTGTTCTATATTTATAAGAACCTTAAAATGGCTGAGAAATTAAACAAGTTGATTTATATTTTATTTTTTATATTTTGTCCTTACAATTTCTATTATACCATATGTATAAAATATAATTTTATTATATTTAAAATTATACCCCTAGAACCCTCTCATGGTTTTTGACTATTGAATGACATTGTTAATCACTTGCTACTCTCGGATTTATAATCAAATAATTTTTATGGCATGCAACATTGATCAAATTAATTTTGGTATATATCTAAGATTTAAAGGTGATCAGTAAGTCGAAAATAAACTATTACAGGACTGCCTCATAGTAAAGAAGAAGCTCCTAACGTATATAATGAACGTTAAATTCATATCTATTTTAAATTTATTTTTATGTGATTTCTGGAATAATTCTGGAGGTGATGACTTTGTATTGGTTCTCTAAAAGATTTAACATATGCAGATCTAAGGATGGAAATTAACAGGCCAGAAAAAATTTACGAAGGTGACAGAGGTATAAGACTAAACAAAATGGTGTGATCAAGAAAAAGCTGTAACAGGGTCTAGTTACCTCATAAAATGTAGCTTACCAAATATTTCAGATAGAACCATTTGAAGCTACTAAAACTATTTACAGGGTTTAATCAATTGTTTGAAAAAGTATTAAAACTTAAAACTTTATTAGTTGCAAACATTATCTTTTAGAAATTTTCCAGCCTCGCTCTAGCTTATAGACATTGTTCTAAATTATTACTCACCTTAAATTTGGATTTTTATTTTTGAAATTTTTATTGAAATAAACAAAGGGTATGGGTGGTATAAAAAAAACAATTAAAAAATGCTCGCCTATGAAAATGTTACTACTGGTAACATAATGATGAAATATGAATTTATCTTAGAAATGGTTGCGCATAAAAGAATATATTCCGATGAATGCAGAGATCCAAATACTTAATAATCCTAATTAGTTGGACTTGACTCTTAAAAACGACCAAATCATGATTTTACCCCAAAATAATATTATGTAAAGCCTGAAGATTTAGCACATTGATGGCAGAAAGGTTTGGACCTCTATTCATCAAATCTCTACACAATATTATTTTGGCTAAACTGTTAAGGCCATATCCAATTTCCTACCCTTTATTCAATTTTTTATAAACCTTTTTGGTTTAAAATATTTTGCCAAAAAACGGTTTTTTATACCCAAAAATTATAAAAAATATTTTCTAGATTTTTTTTTCTCTTTAGCTTTCACCTTTTTCTGGTGGTAAGCTCTTTCAAATCTCTCTCCACTTTTATTATTCATGCTATCTATCGCTTTTCATCTCTGATATCTCCCACCTGATTTTTCATCTATATTCCATTTGTATCTACACCCGTAGTATCGCCATCATTGTATCTTGATCTCACATATCAACAGATATCCTACCAGAGTATTCCATTGACAGATATCCTACCGGAGTATTCTTATAGGTTCCTTCTATCATCCTTGAATGGCCCACGAGGTTGCTGGCCATCTTTCATTTTTGGTTTGTTGGACTTATCCTAGCATCTGCTGTCCAAGCCTGTCGGTGACCGGGGTGGCATTTCCCAGCTCAGAAATTTATCCTAGCATATATCCTTACATATCTGTCATCAAAGAAAAACCTGAAATTATTTATGTTCCTTACCAGGATTGAACCTGGGACCTATGCTCCAAGCATACATCATTAACCCACAATGTCACTCCGGGGACTTGCTTTTACGAAATATAAATTTAAAAATCTGTAGTATCTTCTTTAAAGCCATAGCTATAAAATTAAGTATATATAAGTTTATAGCATATTTAAAAGTCACGTAATAACGATTTGTACAAATATATATCACCTTGAGGTAAAATTTTTATGGGTAAAACGGTTAAAATGTTGAATCTGATTTAAGCTCCAAAAAAGTTAACTTTTAAATATTAACATCTTCACCATATAAAAATGAAGTGTATTGGAATAAAACTTTAAGAATAGTTGCTAAGAAGAAGAATAATTGAAATGCCATTTTTTGATATAATTATTTTACATTCCAGTAATTGTATACTGATTAGTTTATACTTATGGATGTCAAAATTGAAGTATTTTGTTCAATTATATAATATAGTTTCAATTTTGTTTTAATCACTTTACCCTAATGCCTAGCCACTTTATCCTAGATATGGGGTGAAATGGCATGACATACTTCATATAATTGATCACAGCTCCTGAAGTAGATAGCTACACTTTTTTTAAAAAAAAAATTTTATAGATAAAAGTTTTGACTATTTAGCAATTGTTTCAAAATATTATGGCAAATGGCAAAATACTATTTACCCCGATGTTTTGTATTTCTTCACCAAAAATATTTACCAACCGCGAATTCTGGGTAACTCGTTTAGAAACTTTTATGGTCGGAAAAACTTGCTAAAACATTAAGAATATTACCATATTTGTGCCGTTCAGTAGCATAGCTACGGGGGTGGTTTTCGGGTTTGGACCCCTCCCAGAGCAAAATTTTTTTTAAATTATACGTTCAAAAGACTTAAAAGTGATTTTATATCAATTATATTTTTTTGGTTTTGATGTTTGTGGAAGGATATTTATATTACTATCGAAATTATTTTGGATAGTATTATTATAAAGTCATTGAGAATAATCTACTAAATTATAATAACATATTATTGATGCATTTAAAAAAATTTATTTATTATATATTTTCGAAGATAGAGTTATGATTTGTAAGATAAACCCGGCCGAAGGGAGGACAAAAGAGCCGGAGGACCGTTAAAGGAAGTCTGGGGGGCAAAGCCACCAGCTTTTATATGTATGGACCCCCTCTAAGAAAAATTCCTAGCTACGCCACTGGTGCCGTTCTAGTTCCCTTTTTCTTTTCCTAATAGAGTTTGAACCAAAAACAAATCTTCGCTTTTAAATATTCAAAAAAACAAACACAAAAAAAAAACTAAACAAAAATCTGTAAAAATAAAAAACAAATATTTTTTTTTTTTAAAAAAACGAAGATTTTCTGATCCCGCTGGTTATCAGATATTTTTTTTTTTATTATAAAAATAAATAACATTTTACAATTATTTAATTCCAATAATTATATATCATAAAAAATTTTATAAAGATTCTTTCTCTATCTTATCAAATTGCTGAAACAATTGCATCAAAAGCTTCGTATCTTGTTGATCAAGGTCCTAAACGAATTTGGTAAATAGCCGATATTGTAGTCCATAAATTTAAACTTCTAACATCATCTGAATATTTTATTTATTATTTTTTTGGTTTAAATTTTATATTTTTTCAATATTATGAATAATTTTTTGAGAAATAAATAAAAAAAATTCATGCCATTGCTCTTCTATTATTTTTCAAGTTTATTACTTTTATTTAAATCTTTAAAAAATTTCGGAGGGGACAGTACAACCTCAGTTGTCAGGATGTTTTATTGCAAAATTTATCCTGCAAAATTTTTTGTATAATCGATTCAAAGTTAAATTTTTAAATAATTAAATCAAAGCTTATTTTAATAATTTAAATTAAAGATTAAACTGTTGCGTGAATTTCAAATTACATTTAATATACATGCTTAATTTATATTCGCAATTGTAATTCTTCTGGTGTAAGAAAAATTGTTTTTGCTTAAAATATTGATAAGTTATTTCGCAAATTGTGACATAACGACCAACATTCATATATCATTTAAATTTAAAAATTATTATTATATTATATTTTAAATAGTATTTAGAAATGTAATTTTTTTTTATTAAAAATATATCTATATCTTTTTGAATGCAAAATTCTTAAAATACATATTAATTTTAAAATATATCTTGTACACAAGATATTTAATGATGGTTGGCCATATTAAATCAGATTTTCTATTTACCATCCTAGGAAGGTTAATTATTTTTATTTCGCGTATAAATATAACAAATTGACAGGTCTAATCCTAAATCCATTCTTGATGAAATCTCTCAATTTTAATCATCAGAGATGGAATGGGGAAAGAGGGTTAGTTTTGAAAACTTTAATTTTTACTGAAAAATGGGTAAGATCAATATAACCAAAATCTATAAAACTCTGGCAACCAATTTTTTAGTGTCCTAGGATCTATAGCCAGTAAAACTGCTGTCAACCCATGATATCATAAATAAAAGTTCGGCATTTTAAAGTTTATTTATCACAAAATATATTCAAGCTTTTACCAGTCATACTCACTTCTTGATCATTGCTAGATTGAACTTGTGTATATTCATCTAGGAAAATAAATATTATGTTAAAAAAATAATACGATTTAAATATTTGGTATGTTATGACTTATGAAACTAATATATTTAGTTCATCGATTAAACAATATATAGTTGTATACGCTTATAATGCATTGTAAACCAAGTTACTTAGCGAATCGAATAAGTTTATTTTAAATTAAGAACTTAGCCAAAATAGTACTACGCATGGCTCTAGATTTTGTTAATAAATTTCCAAATCTTTTAGCCATCTATGAGAAGAAGTCTGCGAGCTGTTATCAATACTAATTGTTATTTTATGATACTTAAAATTTATCTATTTTAACTCACTTTTATGATTAAGGTAATTACCAAATTCATATACAAAAATTTATTATCTTTTTTTGAATAATTTTAACCAAGTAAACTAAACTAGAACTTATGACACCCAGTGACATATAATACTTCAGACTGACAATTCAATCATTAAAATAATTTTTAAGCATTTTTTAAACAAGTAGTTATATCAAATCGATCATAAGATTTCCTTTCATTATCTTTTCAAATATTGAATACATAATCACTTATGTAATTCATTAGGTGTGCCTAATAATATACGAAATTTTAGTTTTCCCATACAAACAATTTACATTAAAAAATTTATTTAAACTTTTTTTAAAATAACTTGTCACATGTATTCGCAATAGAAATAAATAAAAAAAATTATTAATTTTAACTTGGAATTAAATAGAAATCAACTAGACTTGTTAAACAGCTCTATTTAAACCTATCCCTAGAAACGAGTAACTCAGTAAAATATTATGCAAGCCCGATGATTTAGCCAATAGATGACCCATAGGTCTGAACATCTATTAACAAAATTTTAAGGCTTAGATTTTCTGGCTAAAATACCGAGAATCAACTAGCGAATAGCAGATTATTAACATAATAAATTAATTAGATTTATATACAATTACCTTCGGGCACTCGGCATCGAATCATTGCTAAACAAATGAAGGCTAAGATGATGAATATCTGGTTTATATATAGTATTAAGTTATATGTAATTATATTTATTTTATAATATGATTCCTACCCTTAATAAATGAGAATTCATTTTTAACATTTTATAAGTTTTTTATATTACTGTTTTTTAGATAATATTATGATAGAAATTTTTTAATAAAAACATATTGAATTATTAAAAAAAAAAATTAATAAATTATTACCAATTATTATATATAAAAATATAAACGAAATAAGATTTCTATTTTAAATTAATTATTTTGTTCTTTATTTGTGTCCTTACCTGTCATAAAATTTTTAAAAAATATTAATTTCGTTTTTTATTTTTGAATATTGACTAGTTCTGTTTTATATTGTTTTTTTCGATAATTTATAATTTCCTAACCACAACTAAATAGATATAAGTATAATACAATAAATTTAATATATATTTAGCGTTATTATTTATATAACTAACCCCTTATTTGTATAATCGCAACTAAAATGAAAAATATAAACAAGGTGATATCAAAGTTACTTTTAAAAATTAAGTGTAATCAATTTAGCTATAAGATTTTTCTTAAAGTTAATTAAAAAAACGAGATTCGATATAAAAATATATAAATTAAAAACTAAGAGAATTTTATAATATAAGAAATAATTGATAATAAATGAATTTTCATAAAGATTACAGGTACAGCAAATAAGAATGATTCTGAAATTTCAAGCTAGCCCCAAGAGTCTTATTGAAATCCTGAATTTACAGTTAAAGCGATTTCACGGCCAAGTATATAAAATACTGTAGGTGAGTCCGATAAGTGATTGACGGGTTATCAATTTTAAAATTTTTTAACCCTTGAGCATAAATAAATTTGTGGTGTGAAGTTGTATTATTTCTTATCCTTTTATTTAACTTTTTAAAAACTTTTTTGGAAAATTTTTTACCAAAAAACCCTTTTTTTTACCCCAAAATTGGAAAGTTTCTTTCTAGTTTTTCTTGCTTATACCGAAATATAAATACAAAAATTTGTATACATGTTACTTAAAGCCATTGCTATAAAGTTAAGTTTGGGGTAAATTGTTATAGGTATAACGGTTAAAATGTTAAATCCAATTTAAGCTGTAAAAAGTTAACTTAAATATTAATTACACCATATAAAAATAAATATTTTGAGCAAATAGTTTTGGTTTGGAATAAATTTTAAGAATAATCGCAAAGAGGAAGAATAATTGAAATGTACTTTATGCCTAAAATGGGCATACTCTATATGTGCTATTTTTTACATTCCGATATTGTAACTGATTAGTTTATATTTATGGTCATACTATAGTTATGTTCAATTTTGATCTAACCACTTTACCTTAATGCTTACTTAGTCACTTTACCCTTGGGCATGGGGTAAAATAGCGGAAAATGGCATACTTCACATAATTAAACACAGCTCCCTAAGATATTATCAATAAAGAGCTACACTTTTGTATATTTGGTAAATGCAAATTTAGAACTATCTATATGTAAATAAATTTTTCTGTTTAGTTAATTTTTCGAAATATTATGGCAAAATCTAAAATACCAATCTTTTTTCCCCGGTCTTCCCTATTTTTGTATTCTTCTCCGGGAATTCAGGGTAAACCTCTTTAGAATTTTTATGGTTGGGAAAACTTGTTGAGGCATTAAGACGCCGTTTATATAGTATACATTTTTATTTAAAAAAATATTAAATCTTTTTAAATTTTTAAATATTTTTAATAGAATTTAAAAAAATATATTTTTTTTTAATTAAAAGTATCTGTACCTTTTTTGAATGCAAAAATGGATTGAGATAGATAACAGATATTTTTTGAATAATTTCTATCTTAGATATACAAGATCCTTAGTGATAATTTGCATGACATATTTTCTATCTACACCCCCAGGGTTAATTAATTTCTATTTCCGTATTAATATCACAAATTGACAGGTTAAATCCTAATTCCTTCCTTAAAAAAAATCTCTACATTTTAATCATTTACAGAGTTGGGAGATGGGAGGGGTTAGTTTTAAAAACTTTGATTGTTATAGGAAATGAATAAAATTTAATGCGTTTATGAAAACTCTTTAAGCTGTCCGTTAGAAGTAAAAATTGTATCCGCATATGCATTATATAAATTATATAGTTTTGGTATCCCTTAGACACTAAAACTCTAGAAAATAAAACTACGTCTCGCTATAACCTCGGGTTTTTATAACAGATATTTTGGTTGGATGATATAGCCATTACTATCATTTTTAACTTATATAAACAAATTTTACTCACGATTATAGTCATTTAAAAATTAATATCTACAAGTTTATATATATCAGAGAAGGCATTATTAAAATTGAATAATCTTTCTAAATTAAGTAGTAATAAAAAAAAAAAATTAACACGTTATCAACTTTTATTATTGAAACATTTTGCAATTATTTTCTAAAATAAACATAAAATATTTAACACCATCTCTATAAGAATATCTTCTATTGTTTTTATTTCCGCCTTGTGAAAATTCTTTATCAGGATTTTCACCCAGCCCGTAAAAAATTTATGATCCATTTCTCATGATCCAAAAATCACAGACGTAGCTGATTGTAGAGCATTAGATTGTTCAATATTTATAAAGGCTTAAAAAATGGGTGAGAAATTAAACAAGTTAATTAAAATCTAATTTTATATTTTTTATTTCTTTACGATTTCTATTAAATCTTGAGTATAAAAATAATCTACTTGCAAAAATTATTATTAGCTTAGAACCCAGTCGTGGTTTTGATTATAAAATGACATTTTTTATCACTTACATACTCTCAGATTTATAATCAAATGATTTCTGTGATAGGCATCGTTGAACAAATAACGGTTAATTTTTTATAATATTTTAAATACCTTTTTAGTTAATAAAAACTATTAATTCATAATGTATTCGAAAAGATTATTTCTCTTCCTAGAAAAGTGATTAATCTCTCTCATTCCTTATAGAAATATAAATTTCATTGAAAAATTAATTAAAATTTTATTATCAAATTGCCTTAAGATGGTATGTTGTGTAAGTAGAATTGATACCTATATAAAAATAACAAAATGTTAAATATAGGAATAATAAGTATATAATTTGCATAACTAATTAACACGTTAAAACGTATCTCATATCAATAAAACAAGCTTCATTATGATTGGTCTATCTGCATTTGATATTTCATTTTAAGACATGATTCGATAACACATAACAGATTTTAATTCATAATCGTTTTATCTTTATTTATTCATTAAGTTTATCTGCTGGATAATCATTTTTTTCGCAAGGAACTGAAGTTGATTGAATTGCTTATATAATAAAATTTTATCTGTTACTACGGAGCTCTAAAGCGAAAACTGATTGCTAAAAAATGAATTACTAAGACGTTTAATGTCTAAAGTGAAACTGGTTTGTTGACATTCCCTAAGTTTTCTACAGGGAGTTTTAAAGATCTAATATATGCGATTTCTAATCAACAAAATGTTATAATTGCAACAATCTAGGACAAGTTTGCGGAAATTATTAAGCAGAGCATTAGGTAGGCTGGACTTATGCCACCTGTACATAAATATGATATAGGAGGCCTTAACATTACGTAAATAAAATATTTTCTCTTTTAAAATTTTTCAACTTGCGGGCCACATTTTATATGAAAGAAGAATTCATCTAAATCCTAAAGAAAGAAAGAAAGAATAATTGTAAAGTGGTTTAATAAAAAAAATAACAATTATAAAATTATCAGAGTTATGGAAGATTAATTAAAATTAAAACGATTTATCGTAGGAAATAGACTAGGGAATAAAATAATATATTTCGAGTTTGAAATATATTTACTAATTGCATTAAGCTATATGCATAATTTTATTGGTATATAAAAATTAAATTATACAAAATGTATTTTTACTATCGATGAAATATAATGTCAAGGACATCGTTAAATATTTTTGTTTGGACAGGGCATATTATTTTATAAGTAAGACAGCGTTTATTGGCATAAAGGCTAGACGATTTCTTTTTGATTATAATTTGTTATACTTTGTTGGCTAAAAAATTATATTAAATTAGCAATTTTTATAAAAATATTATCTCTATGCGATATAAATAAGTTTATCTAAAAATGTAAAACACCTTATTTTTGGAGAAATAATAGACATCAATACTATTATTCAAAAAAAAAATGATGATTAAAATTAAAGTAATATGACAGTTAAGGACATTCTATAAAAAAATAAAATATTTGAAAATTTTAGTTAATAGAGTATGCCTTTTCTCATTGATCCCATGGCTTCATCCTAATAATTCCCATGATCCCCTTAACAGAGCCGAATCTCTAAAAAATATAAAATACTCACACCTAATGTGTGATACACTTTGTTCCAATAGCAGCTACATCAACCTGCTCTTTTGGACAAGCGACTTACGATCTATTCAAAACAATATCCAAATCATTAAAAAAATCATACCTTTCTCCATTTTACAAACTCAAGCAGAAAATCGCCGTGTCTATAATTAGATCTAATTATCAAATATTTAAAACATCATGGCCCGACCTCGCCATTTGATATTTCTTCTTTTTAAAATGTTTAATTTTTATTTTTATAAAAATTTACATTTGTATTTTTTTTGAACTTAAATTGATATATTGCATATTTTATTATATTCTCTATATTTTAATGTTAATTTTTTAAATAACAATATTTTATCATATTTGTGTATGAATTTTAATAAAAAAAATTGAATTTCATTTATAATTAAATTTTTGAGAATTTTATTTTGTAGCTTTTTACTTGCTTTATAAAATATGAGATGATTTTATATCAAAGTTAAAAATTATAATAACCGTTTTATCAAATTTAAAAAAATTAAACAAAATTATATTCTAGATTTACCATAAAATTATTATGAAATTGCGAAATTTTCCATAATCAGTTTTTACATGGTGCGGGTTCATATTTCAAAAGCCATTCCTATTTCCAAGCCATTTTATGTAACATATTAGAGGCACGAATTAGAATTTTATTTAATAATATATTTTTACTATCATTCATTTTTCTTCAATCATTGTGTGATTTTTTTTTTGTTAAAATTTGCCATTCTCATAAGAAAGAAAGAAAGAAAGAAAGAAAGAAAGAAAGAAAGAAAGAAAGAAAGAAAGAAAGAAAGAAAGAAAGAAAGAAAG